TTGAATCTGCAGTCATTTACAAACACATTTCAGAGAAACACCATGACAGCAATTTGGTTTGTGTCTTGCTGGTTATGCCTGTTGATATTAAACATGGTTGGTTGTATCTGCTTTTGTTTGAAAAGAACTCTCATCTTTTCTACAAAATAAGAATATTAAGTGTTCCCAAATAATTAATGCCTTTAAAATTAAAATCTTGCATCATCTGAATATGTCCATTCTGAGAGATTCCCACTGAAATGGAAAGAAGTAAATCGGTTCCCAGGTGTTGTTGCAGCAGAAAAAGAGAGAGAGAGAGGCTTTCTAGAAGCCAGCAGATGAGAATGACATCATGTAATACCTGCAATGCCAGTCAGGGTGCATGAGCACAGCAGCTGGCAGTCCATCATGTTTACAGAGAGAAGGACAGAGAATTAAAAGTTATTGATTTATATGCTGTTGTACAGCACCCTGAACCTCAAGTGAAAGGGTTTGATTTTTAGTCCCACTCTCTGCCTTTTTTATTCTAGATTGCTTCATTGGGAATCTGATTGAGAATGTAACTGATCCAACCAGAAGATTCAATGCTATAATTTAATTATTTCGTTGCACTCTAATCTAATTGGTTTTTCAGGCTAAGCGTATCTTTAGTAGTATACTGACAAGGCAATGTCTCTGTCATATTGCCAAGGGAACTCTAAAGTTTCGGAGATCAGCGCAGGGTTGTTCTGATAGGAACAGAGGCCCTGTTGAAAAGAGTTTGTTTTCAATATATCAGATGCATTCTTTTTACTGCTCTTAATTATAATATGGAAAATTGTAAGAGCTATGCAGGTCTAGGGTTAAGTGGACCTTACAGGTGTTTAGTAGCAATTCTAGGAAGATGTTGGTATTAGTCCTAATCAAGGCATATGACTGTGGATATTGCATACAATATGTAAAGTCATTTACATAAATGACATATTAAGGAACACTTACACTTAGACTTGCTTCTATGTGGTAAATTTTTATATCTATCCATTTAAAAAACATGGAAGCTAGAGATTGATGGAATAGATTTTGCTGATTAGAATTTGTCTTTTAAATTCTCATTAATGAACAATCATTAACTTGGTTGCCTTTTCATAATAAAGAGGGGCTCCTTTTTTTGCTATTTGTTCTCAGTTTGATAGTTTTGATAGTCGATACTAAAATATTTTTTAAAAATTAACATTTTCCCACAAAAATTGAGCTGTTTTGTCCCTTTCATGATCCATTCCTCAAATGTCCTGTCTTAAGTTTCCAGCTTGTTTGGTCTAGTGGTTAAAGCACCAGGCTAGAAAATAAGATACTGTGAGTTCAATTCCAGCCTTAGCCGTGAAAGCCGGCTGGGTGACCTTGGGCCACTCACACACTCTTAGCCCAAATCGCCTCCCAGGGTTGTTTTTGTTGGGAAAATAGGAGAAAGAAGGAACATTAGATATGTTTGCCACCTTGAGTTGTTTATAAAAATAATAATGGCAGGATATAAAATAAATAAAATATTCAAGGTAATAGATTCTTCATTGTTTTCTCATCATACAAAATATTAAAAGCTTACAGCTCACATTTTATTGTACTCATATTTGAACATTATAGATAGGTTCTTGACATACCATTTTGTACCATAGGAAAATTAAAGAATTCACACATTGCTTCCTCTGCGGTTGTATAGTATTTGATTCTGCTGAGATGGGACAAAATAGTGTGCATTAGTAACAAATCAATGGGATAGTTTGTGGTTTTTATTTTTACCCTCATTTCTCTGCAGTGATCCTTCACCAACACAAATTCAGGAAAGGGATAATAGGCCACAGATACTAGCTTTGGGGGCTCACAGAAAACTTCTGCTTATTAGCTCTGCTATTCTATCATTTTTTACTTCTCATGTTCATTTTGTTCTATGTGAAATAGCAGAACATTAAAATAAAAAAGTGGTAGGTGAGCTTTACAAGCCAGATTTTACTTCTTCTCTTTGTAAACAGTCATATATAATTTGCTGAGCATTTACAAATGGCACTTGTGGTGATGAAATATAACTGGAAAATTGCAGTCATATAAAACAGATTGATTATGGAAAACAAATGAGAAGATGCAGCTAAAGTTTTACTGGATGGGTAATCATAGATCGAATTAAAAAGAAAAGAAGAAAAGGATTTGGTAGAAAGATGCTAAACATTCAGTGGGATATTGGATAGCGATAACTCATCTTAAAATATAAAGATATAAATTAGTACTATACCTGCCTAGGCAAACCCTACTAGGGATGTGCGGATCAAACTATAATCTGTGTCAAACTATAGTTACAGGTTTTCATGCATTATTCAAAAATTCCTTTATGTTGAAAAATCCACATCTGCCACATGCGGGTTTTTTTACTACGTGGAATTTTGAACAAAACTTTATCTAAAAAATAATTTTAAAATGCAAGTCTCAGTATGTTTCCATGTGTCTGTCTGTCTTTCTTATTTAGATGTGTATTACCTAAATATATTTTTTCAAATGCAAATGTTTGAGCAGGAAACATCAGAAACAGAAAATTGGACCATGATTATTGTGATGACTTAAGAAAGGAAGTTTCAGTTTCATATGCATCTCAGTTTATTCAACAGTGATGTGATCATGAAAACTGGGTCCTTGTGTTTGAATAAGCAGTAAAACAGACAAGTAGAAATAGAAGATTGTTTAAATAACATAGGATTGGTTGGATGAAAAAAGTTCTAGAATAATAGTAGGTACAGCTTGCCAACAACTGTAGGTAAGTCTTAAAAGTGTCACACAGAAAAGACTGATGAAATCCACATTTCCCACATGCAGTTTTTCCTAGTACATAGAATATTAGACAATCTTTGTGGAATCTCAGGGAGAAGGGAAAGCATAATGTGCAGTTAACTAGTGATGTATGGAACCAGTCAAGTTAAACTGGGACAACCTGAAAGCTCTAGATTTGACAGTGAAGAGATTGTACTTTCAGGTTAGAACAGAAGGTAAAAGATTGCTGAGCAAGCAATACACATTTAAGGTTAGTGGGGGATGAGAAAGCAAATATTTAATTTTTACATTAACCTTATTAAAATTCTTAGCTAATGAATTTTGGATTGTACCCTTAGTGTTTTCAGATATGGGGCACTTGACAGAATCCTCTCTGGCTTTCTTTTTGGATTATTTAAAGCAATTCATTCTGCTCTGAACCTTTCAGCATATAGTAGAAATTAATGAAGGAAAGTGCTTGTTTTTCTTGGTTAATCTCTAACATTTATATACATTTTTTAATGTAGCTGGAAATTGTCTAACAAGGAAGCCACAGCAACTTATATAAAAACTAGCCAAGCCTCTTGTCACGATGATTTGTAATGGTTTCTATATACAAGAAGTATAGTTACAGTCTTGTCTAACACTGACCTTCCCATTTCACTTGACTGAATTTGTAAAGATCTACATGTAGGTGTTTTAGTATTTCATGCTTCAGCTTGACATAAACTAATGATGTAGCCTACTAAACATGGTGACATGATTAAACTGTGATGTTAATTAGTGGTTTCTGCAAGATACTTGATCCCCTCCCCCTCCCCCCGGTTTTTTTTTCCTGGTGTTTGTTAGGCATGTATTAAACTTCAGGCGACAGAATTGGATGTTCTCTTTATAGCATCTGTTAATACCGTTAAGGACTAGTGAAGAAATTATAGTTTGAGCATTTTTCTCTCTTGGGTTGTCCAAAAATGGAAATTTGTCTGAAAAGAATATGAGAGTTTTCACAAGTAATTATGATCTGGAATGATATGTAGATGCTATATATTAATTAATCTGTTTCAATCATATATATTTTATTCAGAGAGGTTTTGGTGGGAGGAATTTTTGGAAGGGTTTAGGAAGGTTAAATCTGTGAGACATGGCTTCCATCTGGAATGCATTAGCTCCAAAGATTTATTAGCCAGAGTGTCTCTGCATAATGTTCCATGGAAAGTAAAGCCCTGCATCTAATTTCCAGCATGATGTCTATATGAGGAGTGATCTTTGAAATATCATAGGTGACAATCAAGTTTCTTATTTTTTTTTTAAAAAAAAATAGTAAATGTGTTGGAATTTTATGCCAACAATTTAAAATCCTCACGAGAACTGCGAAAGCAGGTAGTCTTATTTGTTGACAAATGATAAAACAGTAGTAATAGCAACATGCATGACATTTTAAAATAAGATTGAGCCTTTGAGCAGAAAATACACTCGGGAAAATCACCAGGCATTCTATATTTGCTTAACTGAGTGCAACAAGGCAATATTAAAAGTATTTCATTTCTGAGGCTGCGCTATTCTGTTTCTGTTATCAGAATTGGAAGGCAATGGGTAGTAAAGATGATACTTTACAGGTACATCTTTAGTGTAGGTTTAAAGTGAGGAGGTACTAGGTCAGAGGTCTCCAAACTTGGCAACTTTAAGACTTGTGGTTTTCAACTCCCAGAAAAGCTGGCTGAGGAATTCTGGGAGTTGAAGTCCACAAGTCTTAAAGTTGCCAAGTTTGGAGATCCCTGTTCTAGGTCAACTCTGCCTGACATAGTGTCCCAATAGGGATACTATATGTTAGGATTGCCAATCCCTCACTTCCTAGGGATTTTGACCAAAGATCCTAATGCATGGGGAGTTGAGGTTCCCAAACATTTAGCATTTCATAAATTGAGAAAATTTGAACCTTACAGCTGTAGCAAGTCTACATCACAAGTATTATGAATGTTGTAACAATGGCTTTCATGAATAAAATCAAAAGCCTCTTTAACAGAGGTGCATAACCTTGGCAACTTTAAGACTTGTGAATTTCAACTCTCAGAATTCCCCACCAGCATGTTGTTGAGGTTCACAAGTCTTAAAGTTGTTGAAGGTGGATATTCCTCCTCTATAAGGCTAAAGAAAATTATAAAAAATTTTGAGTTCTAGCTTCATAACATACAAATGCATCAGATAGCTTCATGTTTATAAAATAGAATAAAATACTTTGAGCTACTAGTGATCTTACCACTGATTGGATAATACATTTATTTGTATTCATGAGCAGTGTACATGAAATGATAGGAACACTGGAATTTCTTCAGTTGCACAATAGGGCAGTCCTGCTTCCATAGCCAAGAAACAGCAGGCAATTTCACTGCTGTGGTAGATATCCTAGATAACAAAGAATTCCACCACTTCAAAATCTGTGAGAGAAGGCATAACTTGCAAGTCTGTTTTAAGACCACATGCCCCTGATCCCAGGCATTTAGAGACACTATTAATATTTTTTCTGGTGGGTAAAAAGTATTTTCAAGGCAGAGCTGGTATTCAGCAGGTTCTGACCACTTTTGAAGGACTGGTAGCGGAAATTTTGGGTAGTTCGGAGAACCAGTAAATACCACCTCTGACTGGCCCCGCCCCCATCTATTCTCTGCCTCCTGAATCCCAGCTGATCAGGAGGAAATAGGGATTTTGCAGTAACCTTCCCCTGGAGTGGGGGGGGGAATGGAGATTTTACAGTATCCATCCCCTGCCACACCCACCAAGCCACGCCCACCAAGCCATGCCATGCCCACCAAGCCACACCCACAGAACCTGTAGTAAAAAAATTTGAATCCCGCCACTGCATCTGGTTAACTGTTCAATTTTCATGTTTTCTTTTGAATTTCTAAGGTTCTTTAAAGACTTCCTTCCTTCCATTAACATATTACTTTTTTGCTCCAGAAGAGGGCTTGCATAATAGAAACTGTTTTTTTATACCATAAGCAGGTGAATTTTTATAGACAGGATAATTTTACTTTCTATATCCTTGCAATTTGCCTGTTGGTTATTAACAGGTAAGCATAGTTTAGCAGCCAGAGAACTGGCACATTGTCTGGATACGTTTCTGACTTTCATTTAAAAGGAAATAAGACTAAATAACTTGAGCTATGGGGTTGTTGAGCATGTATAAGTGTATCTGAACTGCAACTTAATGTAACACATACCAGTCATTAAGTGCCAATATCAATTATCTAGTGAAATGAACAGGGACAATCCCATTTATTCTCTAGGAAATAAATAAATGAACACACATATTCAGTCATTTATAATATGGAGATTTCAAAAAAGAAAAAAATGCAAAAGTGTAGTTTTGAAGGTGGGAAAGGAAATTATTATTTATTGTTCCCTTATGGTTGTTGCAAAAAGCCAAGGGTAATGATTCAAAAGGATGGAGGTAAGATTCAACTAGGAGTTCTAGCTTGGAAAGCTAGTTTATTATTACAATGGGAGAGCTTGGAGAATTTTAATGCAACCTTCTCAAGTTTCTTATCACCAATTCAACAGATATACAATGAAACTTGATTACATTAAACAAGTTTAGTATTTATGATTTCTTGGTTAAAAATGTATCAGTTTATTGGTCATCCAAATCTTAGTTTAGCTTTCCTCCTTCAGGCAAAGGAAAATGGAAATGATCAAAATACAATAGAAGGTCTTTGCTTTCTACACCTAAGATTTGATACCTTATTTCATTCACTGACCACTGTAAATCAGTATGCATTTAGTATACAGTACTTCATATACTATAAGTACTGTAATTTCTAAACGTCCAGCTCTTTCAAAGTTATCGTCATTGAGAATAAACAGAACATAATTATTGTGATCATATTTTTAAAAAAATAAAAATGAAAACACATCATAAAAGGGTATCATAAAAGCCAGCATTAACATAGCCAAGAGACAGATTCCATCTCCCAAACTATATTGTGCCCAGGCTCAGGAACAAAACCAAGGCCTTATGAAAGGCCAGCAACATGAGTGGGAGCTAACCAGATTTCCAGAGAGATGATATACAAAAATATCAACACTCCTATAGATCAGTAGCATTTTCATCTTGCATTGGTTACTTGAAAAATGTCCCTATTTCAACTGCTAGACAATTGGGTGATAAAGAAATTCAATATATTTTATGTATGTAGTTGGGGTATCTTTTTCCCCTCTCTTATATGATAAATACATAGACATAGAACAAAAAACTGATCCACTTGGCAACAGAGACAGCCATATGACATTCTTTTGAATTAGGTGATAATAAATAAAGTATTCATCTACAACAATCCACATGTAATAATTCATTAGTTGACTTTGCATGATAAGGACCACCCATGCACTCTCTAAAGAGACCTACAAAAGGAAAAAGGGGGATCTTTCCACTTCCTAGATGATTATCAATATGCCATCTGTCAAACAGAGAGAGCCTAATCACAGTAACAAGAGGTGTAGTCATCGTGCTGTCTAACAATCTCTGCTCCAACAGCATGATTATGTAAGTGCACTTGTAATTACTTCTGAGCAATGTAGGTCTTAAAGTAAAAATATTGCTTAAAATTAGGGCCTAAAGTAATATCTTGGGGACATATAAAACCATTATTCCAAATTAATTTCCTTTTAATAAATGAAGTAACCCTCCTTTTTTTGCTACAGATCAAAAATGTTTTGCTAAATAAAATCCTTGGAAAGCTTGATTGAATTCCTGGCCTCCTCTCTAAAATGACATGCTGACTTCTTCTCTTAAGTTTCTGATCTATGATAATCCATGAACATCCCATCCAAACAGTTTGCTGAAAACTAAAGTACCAGATTACCTTTATTTTCTCGGTGGATGGTGACCTATTAGAAAATTTGTCCATTTCTTGCTAGCATCTCTTTGGCATCTCTCCAGCAGGTGAAAAGGTTAAACTTCAAACTGAAAAGGCAGAAAGTTACAAAAGATGAAGGGGAAAGTGTAGTGCTTACAGAAAAAGCATTCCAGAAAAATGTTATAGTGATACTTTTTTATGATGTCAAAAAAAGCAAAAGTAACCTTTCCAAAACTTAGTAATTCCTTTTTTTTTTTTTTTGGCTCTTCTTTTGTTACATATTAAACATGCATTTGTGTTTTATGTCTATGGTGTCATTCTTGAAATTTGGGAGGTTAGGCTTCAGAAGCACTACATTGCTGTTTATTTTATCTGTGCTGTTGGATTGTATTCAGTAAGGCTTTGGAAAGCATTCAAAAATACCTCTTTTTGAATCATTAAAACAGCAGTGTCATTTCTCTGTGTTAAAATAATGGTGTCATCTGTTTGTATGGTGCTATGACCATTAGCCTATAATAACTCAGGGGATTCCATTTTGTCATCAGTATGAATGCAATTATTGACAGAAGGAAGTTTAATATAATGAGAATGCTCACTTTTCTTTTCTACGTCACCTAATTCCAAGCACCCAGCCGATATACTTAAATTAGATTTGATAATGAACAAGAAGAAAATAGACAAACTAAGCTTAAAGCCAAACAAAACAGAAAGAACCCTGACATAAGAATTGGGATTCTGCATATTGTGAGAATGTAGCAGATATGTAAAATAATTATGCAATTAGCTCATACAATAGGCAGCATGTGGAAATTCCTATTGAAGATAAAAGTCCCTGATTGATCATTGACGGAAATGTTTCAGCTTTTACAACTCTGGATAAGAATTCCATGATAAATTTAAAGTATGATCATGTAGAAACTTACAAAGTATCATATTGAAATATCTTTTAATATTAACATTGTAATTTTTATTCAACATAGTGTGATATATGTTTAAATCAGTAAGCAAAAATGGTTTATAAAGTTAATAAGATTCAACAGCTCTGCTCATTCATGGGCAAATATGATGATGTCAATGTTCTTACAAGTTGATGCTTTGGAGACTGAAAGGCTTTTTAATGATAATTTTTTTAAATTTCTAGATATTCTGAAATTGATTTTTTTTTTAATTGACAACAGCATTGGAGCTCCCTCAAGGAAATAAAAGACTCATTAGATGAAAGTTGCTGAATGGTATAAATAGCTTTTTAAAACCAGCCAAGATAAAATACTATTTGATTGGTCAGATGGGATTTTTTTAAGACGACTACTAATCTGTGTCAGATTAAAACCATTTCTACAGTCTGTTGTCAGATGGTAAAGTGTTATCATTTTCATTATCATTCATTTAATTATAATTATCAAGAACCTTTGAAATCAAGAAGGTGATATAAGAAACATGAAACAACATGCAGTCATTTAAACTAATCCTTCCCATGAAAAGTAGGTAATTTTTAGTAGCAGCTTTTATTGCTACTTTGTTCACTTTCCACAAGATTATAAGAAATATATTTGTATTGCATTCTTGCTTGTATATTAACAATTATCATCATCATCGTCTCTGTCATCATCATTTCATCCTCTTCCACATGTTTCCAACCAATAAGGTCCTGAGCTTTCTTTTGCCAATTGGGCCCGCAATACTTGCTGGAGTTGTCGATCCATCTTGTTTTAGGTCTCTTTCATGTTAACAATACAGTCCTGAATTCACTGGTGCTTAACTTCCAAGGAACCAGGCATGGTGTTGCTATAAAAAAAAGTTCCTCTATAAATGCTCCTGTATTTTTAAGCAACTGGAAAGGTTGTCTGATTGATTGATTGATCAAGTTGTATTTTTTTTTTACTCCTAGTGACCACATAGATTTTCTCCATGAAAACCAGGTCTTCCAATTGCACCGATTGCCACAGTAGTAACTGAGTCCACCCACCTTGCTACTGGTCATCTTCCTATTCTATGTCCTTCCATCTCTCCCTGCCAGAGAGCCAGGTCTTTGCAATATGTCTCTCAAGTAGGATAATTTGACCCTTGCCATTTCTGCATGAAGTGAAAACTCTGGGTTGAATTCTTCAATGATCCATAGTATTCTCAGGAGTCTTCTCCAACACTAAAGTTCAAAAGCGTCAATATTCTAACAGGGATGACAAAAACAAATGATCAGCAGAAAAGCAACTATATAATAAGAAGCTAAAGCCTTTAAACTTAAAAATGAATTGGCGGGGGATGGTTGGTTTACACAGCATATTTAATGCATTTGATATGGGATAATGCTTTCCTAATTTCTCTCCTAAAGTACATCTTAAATATTTAAGTAATGGATATATAATAAAAATATTCTAAGATTGCAAATTTTGATGTTTACTTGTGATAACACAGGCATCAGGTTAATAACCCAGCAAGTTTGGTTCTCATTATCAACACAAGTAAACATGCTGTATTATTTGCACAGATGTATATCTTGCTTGTATTTAGGCTAAATAATTGGAAGTGGCCTTTACCAGTAGTGACAAAGAAACATGAAGATCACATTTAATCCATACTCATTGCAATTCACCTTATGGTGGCTTGCTTCATAGCAGAATATATATATCATTTCCACTGTTATCCTTCATGCTTTTAAAGAGTAATATCTTTCCTCAGTGACTGTTTGTCAATTTCAGTGATCTAGATTTGATTTCCTGAATTAACTAGCCAATTAAGTCAAGAACTATCATTAGAATAAGAAATGAAAGCAAACAACTACTAATCTATCATTCCAAACTGTTTGAACCTATAATGCCCAAAATACTTTTTCAGATTATTTTTCTTTGTTTATTCAGCTTTTGATAATACATGTGTGTCTTGCTCCAGAAATATTGTTGTATCTGTTAGACAAAAAAACCTAAACCCAATCTTCTAGATTTCATCAAGATATACAATGCTGCCTTTGCTTTTCTTTCTTCTGAGCTTCTGAATAAGCAGGTAATCATTCATATAATCTCAGATATCTGAAAATATATTTCCATTTTAGTTGGGAATTCTCACATCTGTCCATTGCAAAACTAACATTTAGGAAAAAGGCACATCTCTCAGGGGAAAAAATGTTTTTTTTCTGAGGTAGGCATGAACAATACCAAACTGGAATGCTATTGTCATGTTTACGTCAGGCAAAGTTCAAAAATTAAAAGGGAATGCCTGAGTCTGAATGACAGAAAGGAAATGAAGCTGTAGTGATGTGAATGAGGTATTAAGGCCTATTCTCAGGCCTTAGAATTATGTTCAACCCTACAGGCCTGATGCCTTTACTACTGTCAGGCAATCACCAATCCCATTGGCACCATACCTGCATAGCAGAACTCTGCAGTTTTGACCTTTCTCCCAAATACTTAGGCCAATTAATCCCGGAGAAGGCCAAATCAATAATAAAAGAGAGACTTGGGGACATTGATTGACAAAATGTTATCACCAATGCCCCTGAATCCTTTTGCCAATTGTTAGATAGCCATAAGCCCTATATTGCAGGAGTACCTAAACAATTTAATGCCAAGCAGATATAAAAGGGCCTTTTCTAGAGCCTGCTTTGATGCCCTCTCATCAGCCCTACTGGAGGGAAGATTTCAAGGGGACCCTTTTTTTTTTTTTTTATGAAATTTTATTGAGTAAAGAATATATTACATTTCAAACTCTACGGTTCGGTAACGTGTAGTCATCTTGTATATTTACATATATGGAATCTAATCAATTATCTAGGTATTATACAGTTTATACATAAGCCTTGTAAGATTGAACACATAATACAACAATAATACATAGATTAATTAATAATTATACATTGTCCTAATGAGAGTTAACTTTTGCATTTATTTTTCAACCACCTGTACCACAGATCCCAGATCGTATAGAATTCTGAGTCTTCCTTTCCATTTAAAACATACGTTAATCTGCACATTTCTGCACAGTCCAATACTTTATTGACTATCTGTTCCTCAGTCGGACATCCTTTCTCTTTCCAGCAACTGGCATAGGAGAGTCTAGCAGCTGTGACAATATGGATAATCAAATATTTCTTTTCCTTAACAAATTTCCGTTTTAGGACTCCCAGGAGATAGATTTCAAGTAGAAAATTAATATCCTCATTTAATATTTCTTGGACCCATTTTTGTATTTTTTTCCAGAATTTCCTCGCTTCTGGACATGTCCACCACATATGGTAGAAGGTACCTTGATGGTGTCCGCATTTCCAGCACTTGGGGCTTGCATTCGGATAGATCTTTGCAATTCTAGATGGTGCTAAATGCCATCTATACAGCATTTTGTACTGATTCTCCTTATAGCTTATTGCTCTTGTCAATTTAAGATTGCTGTTCCATATTTCTTCCCAATCTTCTAAATTTATACTCTGGTTTCTCTTCAGATCATGTAAATCTTTTGTCTTTTCACGGGGACCCTTATTCACAGAGACTTTGCCCCTGTGGCTCTAGGGAGGTAGAAACACTTGCCCACACTCTCATAAATTGCCCCTTCTATAATGCATGACATGCTTTGATTGCACCAATCATCCTCAAAGACAAGGGCCATGCAGATAAATTTTATGTTCATTATCTTTTAAGGGTCACTAACCCTACAGTTACACATCAGGTAGGCAATTTTTTTTACAAAGTCATACAGCTGTGCAAAAATTTTAATTAGACATGCTGATTTTATTATACCATTACATATTTCCCTTTCCTAACAACTAATTGTTATATTAAACTACTCCTTCTTTTACTGTATTATATATGTGTGTGTGTGTGTGCATGCGTGTGTACGTGTAATTTTTTATTTCTATTAAATTACAAAGGCTGGTCAAAGACCATAATAAAGATATTTGATTTAATTTAATTTGAGAATGAGAATAAGAGAAAGTGGGAACATTCAGAAGGTTAGAAAAAAGGAAACAAATTCATACCTGCAAGTAACTATTGTGAAGAACTGTCAATGTTCTCCATAATAATGTCTGGAATGCACTACCTGACTGTGGTTTCTTCCCCAAACCCCCAAAACTTTAACCTTAGACTATCTACTGTTGACCTCATACCATTCCTAAGAGGTCTGTAAGGGGCTTGCATAAGTGCACCAAGATACCTACCATCGCTTTCCTAATGTCTCCTTTTATTCGTATCCATTATCATGTTTATACTTATATCTGTTGTCTAATACATGCTTGACAAAATAAAATAAATAAAATAAAAAATACAATAAAACTTCAGTCTAGGGTTTTAAAAATCAGCTGGGATTCACCCATCTGTCCTGTGAACATTACTTACAGGATTTGGGGTGTGTGTGTGTGTGAGGGAGAGTGGGATGAGGATGAGGAGGACAATGGCGATGATGTCTCCATATTGGTGGAATTCTCCTCCTACAGAAGGACATAAAGATCCTAATTGCTGGATTTCCAGCATAGACTTATTGAACATTTCTATTTTACCCAATGTTATTGAATAGAAAGTTGTCTGTTGCTGTTTTTTATTTGATTGTTTCAGAATGATTATAACTGGTATACTAGCATTTCTTCAAATTATGTGATTTTTTAACTGACAAAAGAAAATATTTGTAGGTCAGAATTAAACTGTAGAATCCTTGGTGCTCTCTGAATTTGGTTGCAGTGTTTCATTACGAAACTTGGTAACAACATCAATGCACAATGAATTGTCCTCAGAGAGCACTAAAGACCCCATGACTTTTTAACTATTTGAACTAAAGGGCTTTGACTTTTAGCAAGTATTGCACTTACTGAACTGTGCTTGTGCAAAATTTTGTTTGTGTTTAAACTCAGATTTGTTCTGAAAACTAGTGTATAGATTCCTCATATATTTTCAGATATTTGTGGAGGACAGAAGAATTGTAGCTTGCTTTTTAAATAAAGTGCCAGATTTATTCTGCCATATGCAGGTAGAGCTGAGAAAAACTCCTGACTAATTATAGAAAGCTGAAGCTAACCTAGGAAGTTAATTCTGAGGTGGTTTTTTAAAAACTTTTTTTTTGTACTTGCCATTTGTATTGCTAACTTTACAGCCAAAGTGTATCAGTCAAAATGCTAGAAATAGTTCATCACATTTTAACATTCCCTTTCAAATGTATCACAGTGACATGGTGGCTCAGTGGCTAAGATGCTGAGCTTGTGGATTGAAAGCTCAGCAGTTCAGCGGTTCAAATCGCTAGTGCAACATAACGGGGTGAGTTCCCGTTACTTCTCCCAGCTTCTGCCAAACTAGCAGTTCGAAAGCACGTAAAAAATGCAAGTAGAAAAATAGGGACCACCTTTGGTGGGAAGGTAACAGTGTTCCGTGCACCTTTGGCATTTAGTCATGCCGGCCACAAGACCACGGAGATGTCTTTGGACAGTGCTGGCTCTTCAGTTTTGAAACGGAGATGAGCACTGCCCCCTAGAGTTGGGAACGACTAGCACATATATGCGAGGGTAACCTTTACCATTACCTTTACCTTCAAATGTATCATATCTTTAGGAAGTAATATGGCATTTTGTTGGTTATGTACCATAATGTAACATTAAAATGAATACCAAAATCAATGCATGAAATAATATCAATTCTTGCTATTCAGTCACTCAGACTCTTCATACTTTTTATGATGAGAAGAATATTGTTTTGTCAGTACTGCCTGCCAAGTAAATAGTCCTTTCAGTAGTCCTTTTTTTAAAGTTTCTGTTATCAATGATAGTATTTAGCCACTTTCTCTTCTGTCAACCTCTTCTCTTGCATATAATTTTTTTTCAAAGTTAAATATTTCACTTGTGACTTTGGTTTTCACTTATATTCAAAACATCAGAGCTTTAGGTTCCTTACTAGTGCTTTCAGTGAGCTGGCCTGTTTTTACTTCTTCCAGCATTTAATATTAAATGATGTATTCTTCCAAGATATTCTTTCTTAGGATTGCAACCTTAAATAAATCAATACACCTGGAGTTAATTGTATCAGATGGTTCCCATTTACCATTGTTTCTGGTGGTTTTATTTTATGTTGTTTTTAACAAAGCCGATATAACCAGATGAAAAACTGGATTTTACCATTCTGAGGGCAAACAACCATTAGACAGAAGACTATATAATATGTTATAACATATGGATTTTAGACAT